AAAGTCCGGAAACCGCGATTCGCGAAATGTTGTTTGTGCCAGCCAAACAAACCTATATGGGGTAGTCGATCACCGTAGCGCGGGCTGTTGACTGGTTGGCGGGACGCTTCGACATCCATGTATGAGGGTCGTTCTTGGGGGATTTTGACCTCTGCGTGCTCGATATCCTGAAGAGATACATATCTGAACGTTATTCAGCCTTGAGACGGGCATTTGTGTCCCAGGAGTGATATAGGCTGACTCGAGGACCGTCGCGCCCTCGGTCAGGTGTTACCCTATAAGGTATTGTTTGGCTGGGACAAACAGAAACGCGCAAAACGCAGTTTCCGGACTTTTATGCAAAGCACTGTACAAGTTAAACTACAGCACACGTGCTGATGGCTCCCGGTGCCCACACTTCTCTACTCCGGGCGCTGATAGTCAGCACATCCATGCTAAAGTGTGGCAGGTACAATTCCGCTCTTATCGTGCATCTTCCTATGCATATTCTCCGGAGTCGGCTGTCACCTATGAGATTAATAGTCTAAGCAGAAGGTGCAACTTCCGCAGGTGAGCATAACAGTACGTAACAGTATGCAAGTTCATTTGGGTATATTTCCAAGGATTACGGGGAAACCGAAACTTAGATAGACATTCTTACTTTTGTTAAGCGTGATCAGCACCAGACTTCCAGTCGGACGTGCAGAGAATACAGCATGCTCTCTACAAAGTGGAAGTCGGCACTCGGTCAATATAATACTAATCTCGCGGAAGCTAGCACTTGCCACAATATGGTAGTGCCATGTGCATCGGATTAGTCCCGGTTCATCCAGCTCTGTGGCACTCATGCAGGAGTCGTGGTCACCAACTATTGTTAACAAATCACCATTGGGCCAGTGCCAACCTTGTAAGCTATTCCATGCCTGATTGACAGGGGATCCACAAGGCTGGCAGAGTGCTTTGTAGATGGGGCTTGTAAAACAAGTGGATGGATTTGTAGTGCTTGTGTAAAGGTTTTGGGGAGTATTTGTAGGTGATTTGTATGAATCCAAGGAGCATTTGTGGATGGTCTGTAAGGGATTGTGAGACATTTGTGGATGATTTGTAGACAGCAGAGGGGATTTGTAGATAAATTGTACTATCTTATGGGCCATTTGTGGATGATTTGTGAGAATTTTGGGATATTTGTAGATCCTTTGTAACATACTGGGCAGCATTTGTACATAGGTTGTGATGGATGGGGTGCATTCTGTAGATGGTTTGTGATAGATGGGGTGCATTTGTAGATGGTTTGTGAGGGTGTGGGGTGCATTTGTAGACAATTTGTAGATGGGTTGTGAGGGTTTTTAGTCTATTTGTAGATGATATGTGGGAGGTTTTGGTCAGTTTGTAGATGGTTTGTGGGTGTTTTAGGGCATTTGTAGATGGATTTGTGAGGGTTTTTTGGTCCATTTGTAGATGGTATGTGATGACTGTTGGGACATTTATAGATGGTATATGATGGCTGTTGGAACATTTGCAGATGGGTTTGTGATGGCTGTGGGAACATTTGTAGATGGGTTTGTGACTGCATCAGCACCATTTGTAGATGATTTATAATGGATGCACATTTGCAGCTGTTGGTCAATTTGATAATAGATTGGTTGATTGAATCGTACCATGGTGTATTTCTGGGGTCTTATCTACAGAACGACAATAGACATGGCAATCATTCCAGTAATATATCCATTCTATATGGATCTTCTAATATTTAGCAATAAAATATCATTCTTGAGCACTGGCTCCAAAACTGTTTTTTGCATTTCCAGCTTAGATATGAGAGATGGTTGTATTCCCTCTTGGAATGTAATTACCTCATATGGGTTTACAGGTTTATGTAAGAGTGGAGGAGAATCTAACCACTCAATAATTAGCTACCGCTTTTCAGCGATACTGCTCCTGGAGCCTTCCCCAGCCACTGCCATGGGGTCTGGAGCTCAAGACAGCCTCTCTTTAGTGTATAGAGGGGTATATTACCAGGGTGCAACAATTCCCATCCAATTTAAATCACTATACATGGAGATATAGAGAGGCACCATCAGCCAGACCCAAAAACACAAACATGTTGCTATTCCACATGAGCCAGACATGATATCTTCCTGCAAACACTTGCTAGCACCTCCCAGGATATGCCCCATGAAACTCATCTACAAATGCCCTAAAACACCCACAAACCATCTACAAACTGACCAAAACCTCCCACATATCATCTACAAATAGACTAAAAACCCTCACAACCCATCTACAAATTGTCTACAAATGCACCCCATCTATCACAAACCATCTACAAAATGCACCCCATCCATCACAACCTATGTACAAATGCTGCCCAGTATGTTACAAAGGATCTACAAATATCCCAAAATTCTCACAAATCATCCACAAATGGCCCATAAGATAGTACAATTTATCTACAAATCCCCTCTGCTGTCTACAAATCATCCACAAATGTCTCACAATCCCTTACAGACCATCCACAAATGCTCCTTGGATTCATACAAATCACCTACAAATACTCCCCAAAACCTTTACACAAGCACTACAAATCCATCCACTTGTTTTACAAGCCCCATCTACAAAGCACTCTGCCAGCCTTGTGGATCCCCTGTCAATCAGGCATGGAATAGCTTACAAGGTTGGCACTGGCCCAATGGTGATTTGTTAACAATAGTTGGTGACCATGACTCCACCAACTGAGCATCTGTTATTAGGTACCTCATCGCCAGCCTGGACCCACTGCAGCCTTGCCTTCTCCTCAGTGGGGATGCATCACACATGCATGTTGATATCCTTTTCGATGCATGTATCATGGTACTAGTAATGCCGCCGTCCAGTTCCCGAACCTATGAGAACGGGTTCGAACCCCGGACCGGACCTGGGTTCTGGTCCGAGGTTCTGGAGGTCCCTTGGACCGGACCTACAGTCCGGTTCCGGGTTCAAGGTCTCCCGGACTTCCTAGGACGGTTCCGAACTCGGTTCGAACCGAGGACCATGTGACCTCAGATCCACGTCGTCAGCGCGGTGAAAATTTCACCTCTCGCTTAACCCCCAACGTCCGAGCGAGGCCGCCGTCAGCAGTAGATCTCGCTTGTGTCACCTGATAACCTTTAGCCTAGCGCATCAATACAAAGAGCTCTACTGAATGCCTGCCTGTTCCGTGGAATAGGTTCATGGTAACCAGTCCCACCGAATACTGAGCTTACAATCTCTCTTTGGTTGTAGAGCACATTTTCAGCATTCATCATATGTACGTGCAAAGGTCTGTCTGTACAGAATAGCCAAACTTGACAGAACTGGAAATAGCCACGGTATATCTGATTTTCATGAGAGTGACGCCATCACAAGATACCTGCTGAGTGCAAGGCATGGCAATGGGGCAGGACCGGCAGGTGAGCATACCATACAAGTCTGCAAGACACCAAATTTCTGGATTGGATTTTCACAGCTCTGAAACAGTGGAACAAAGTACGAGGCACCCGCCCTTCTTGAGTACCTACCGGCTCTCATATCAAGGCGGTACCTGGATACGGCGGTCTGCAGGTGTTTGACAAGTGGGGCGATGCTCTCATTGGCTAATGGAATCTACCCCAAATTTCCGTATAAAATGAGACCTGACATGGTGGGTACGAACGCAAACTGCTCATCATGTCTAACTGTGCAATAGGACCTGACGGGGAACTCAAAGATGCCGCTGATATCGAGTGGTATGCCTCTGAGTCCGACGAACGGCCCATTGCTGGACCGTCAATGTCCGGCTCTTCTCCTGCAAGTGCACCTCCCGCGCCTTCCGCACCTGTCTCACCGATAGTCAACGCGCAGCCGCCTCGGAACGCCTTCGACCTGCTTGGGAAGGCCCCTGCGGAGAAGGTAGGCGGTTTGCTGCGTTCTGCCCGTGTCAGCAAGCCTTCAGGTAGAGTCAAAGACCCGAATAATGCTGCAGGCGGGATCTCTCCTCCCAAATCAGCAAAGCGCCGGAACGATGATGCTCAGGCTGGCGACAACCCAAACCCCAGCAAAAGACGAGCTACATCAAAGAGGTGTGCTGTGTCCGACTCCAAAGACGCTGACCCTCCCATAGCACATCGATGATATGCACTGATACACAACAATCACCAAGGACCAAAAGGAATAAACCTAAACCCCGTGATGTGGGTGAAGGCGGTCCGAGACAACTGAAGGGTACTTAATAGTTCGAGGGGGAAAGGAGGAGTAAGACGCCGTAGGGTAGTCCATAGGAAGACCTAGAAAAATAAAACAAAAACCTTGACGCCTGAAACAAACACTAAGGGACGCTCCGGAGTATTTATCTCCGGAAAGTCGCAAACAAAGTCGCAAACCACGGAACCGAGTGTAGGTCCGGGCTCACAGGAGTAGAAGGCGCTAGAAAGAGTTGCTCAATTTTGTTTCGCTATGTGAACCTCACCGGAACTAGTTAAATCGATGGCGGAGATATTTCTCTCGACGAGTCAGGCCTATTGGCAAAGCTAGGATCGGTTATAAGTCGCTAAGTTCGACGCTTTCGAACTTCTCGGGTCGCTGAGATCGTAACGTTAATTCTCTGAGATGGTGAAGTCGAAAACTTGTTTTTCTGTACGCTACTTTGTACAATTTATACTACAGGAATGGCTTTGCGACCGTCCGGAGATAAATAACAAATAAACGCTGCTACCCACAGGATTGCTCAGCACTTTCCTCCGCTATACCATACACCATACGACTCCCTTACGCTCCTACTTGCTCGTTCCAGCCCTTATAGGTCGCCTTGACGCTCCGCCACCTGACCCAGGCGGTCCCATCACTCTGTGCGACACGCCAGTCACGTGTTAATTACCTCCGGCCGTTTGCTGACTGATGCTGACCTTATGGTGACTCGTATGCGTCCGCACCTTCGGTACCTTGACGGAAACGAGGGGGAGTGAGTGCTGGAGGGTGGACATGAGGAAGACGCCCCTCGATAGAAGTGTCCGCGGGTCCCGGAGCTAATGCAGCTAGAAGTCGCATTGGTTAAGTCACTCCGGAGCT